ATTAGGCCCTATATAGATGGAAAGAGGGAGTAATTTCATTCTACACTGCATTATACGTACATACATGTCTGAAAATTGGATTCTATGTATGTACATTTATTTATGGCGAGAGACAAAGATGTGCGGTGGTGATATTATCAGCATCGGCACTGAAGTAGCTAAATGATTTGTCGCAGGATTCAGAGCATGCTTCGATCTGTTGAGTGAATCTCTCTCTCTCTCTCTCTCTCTCTCTAGGTCCGAGCACAAGCGCATGTGCAGATTTGGCACCATCTATCATCGTCGAATCTCTTGGCTGTAAATTAGTAAATACTATTACTAGTTTAAGCAGACAGATCCAGCTCGTACAGCTTGTCCACATTACACAACAACATTTTGTTTTTACGGTCGATCTATATCTTGCCGACTGGTGAAGTCAGTGTGCAGCGTGCGTGCACTATTCTGCTGGTCTTGTCAAGTTCCAGTAGTGTGGCAGTTAACGAGGTTAATTACAACTCCGTCCATTTCAGATTACCTGGCGTGGTAGGAATTGACGAGGTTGCAAATGACATGAATCGATTGTATTAAATGCCACTTAACTGGCAATCCTTGTGAGCTCACTTTGTTTGATGTACTACTACTTAAACAGGCTAACTAGTGAGGGGATGCAGTTCTCACCCGTCGATCCAATATGTTTGCAAACATATACTCAATGCAAAAGATGCAACAGTTCCCTTTCCATCTGGAGGATCCCTCCCAATTCCGCCGATCCCAAAACCCTCGTCGCCGACGCCGTTGCATGTGCTTCATCCTCCTCCCGCTCACCACCGCATCACGTAGACCAAGCAACCAATGCATGACGATCCAGTAACTGGACAGGGGATGCAGTTCTCCCCGTCGATCCGATATGTTCGTATACATATACTCCATGCAAAAGATGCGGAGACTTCGGTTAAGGATCATATCGAGGTCCGTGGTCATGGTGGCGGTGATAGTGGTGGTGCCTGTCCATTGCACCATCATTATTGTTGACTCTGGTGGGGCGAGTAAAGTGTTAGGGTCCCCTTCGGACTCGAGGATCCCTTCCCAATCCTGCAGAGCTCAAAGCCCCAGTCGTCGACGCCTGTGCATGCACCTCATCCTCCTCCCCTCACCACCACCCCATGTAGACCAAGCAACCAATGCACGACACCATTATTGTTTAGTTACATACTACGTGTAGTTTCATTTGATTGTGGAGGCACGAGAAATCAAGGTGTCGTCATTTTGCTTTGTCGAGTAATAATAACTGACAAAGAATAAAATATCATTACCCTACCTGCCAAAATGAAACAAGAATAAGATGCATTATTGCCGGTTGGCATTTGGGAACTGTGATAGTACAATTGAATTGTGTGGTCCTTGAGAACTACCTGTTTCGATTGGGCTGATCCATTGATGTGATGTCTTTGTTTTGGATTATGGAGCAGCACAACCACAACCTAGCTCAGTCATCGGAACATTTGTCATGTTTTTCTTAGTACTACAATGTAGTAAGAATGGATGAGTATCGACAAGTGAAAGGTGGTGTACGGTGTACTTTTAGTGTGTGTTTTTTTGTGGGCAGAGCTGTGAAAGTAACTGTTAGTTTTACAAGGGGTCATTGTTGCCCGTGTTGTTGTTGGGGTTTCAGATCAGTTGAATGAAACCACATGTGCGTGAAAGACGATCAAACAATAAACTAGCTAGTGAACCCCGCAAAAAGTTAACTAGCTGAGAGTTATTTTGATTAAATAAATTAATAAACAAATAAAGCATTTTGGCGCCTCCATCTCTCCAGAAATTTTCAGAAAACAATGTGCACTTTTTTGAGAAAAAAAGGCAATATGCGCATTGCATGAGAAAGCAAAGAAAGAAAGCCCCGCGGTAGGAAGTATAGGATTCTATTCAAGCCCATCGTCGCCGTGGTTTTCTCTACCAAATGCATACATGCCACGGTCGACCACAAAGCTGCAGCTCCTTCCAAAAATATGTTCCCAAACGAAAGAAGCCATACACACACGCGTGAGAGAAAAAGGGAAAGAGGAGATGGAGAAAGACAGGAGTGATAGCTTGCTTTTCAGAAAGACGCCGTGTGTTTTCCACGATGCTTTGCACACCCGTGCCCGTTTCTCAGTTGACTACTCCAATTTGGACTGAATGCACCAAGGGTACGTGCTACTAGCACTAAACAAGATTAGTCGAGCCCCCATGAAAAAAAAAGATTGGTCGAGCCATTTCAGGGGGATTCCTGCACCTTTGGAGGTAAGTACGATGGATGCCTCCAAATCAGGACTTTGGGCATTAGCTTTTATTGTGCGCAAGAAATTTATAGAATGGAGCACCCGAGGGGCCGCTGAACAAGGATATTTGATGATAAATTTTAAAATATTGCATTACCGAAATGCCGCTGAATATATTTCAGTTTTTAGTTTTGATGTATATGTTTTCGTAGTCCAGTTAAAATATTATTTCTCAAAAAATTATGGCTATGTCTAACACCACTACTACTGTTAAGACTAATCTGCATGGGACCGTGGGAGGAAGGCACACTTTGGCGGAGCAAATACAAGGGGAAAAAAGATTCTCGAAAGATGCAACTCGAAAGGCTCTACTACTACGATTGCAGAAATTAAGGAGACAGTACACCTGCGTGTGTGTGGCATTGTTTCATCAGTGCAGCTTCTCCGGACGAGGATGCATGCTGGCCGGCCATGATTACACCAAAAAAATAAATTAAGCTTGCCCATATTGGCCTAGGTATTGGTGCAGTCATTGGCCTTTCTTCCATTATTGGCCAAGAAGTGGCTAGTTGTGGTGCACAAAATAAGGGATCATTTTGACCATTGTGCCCAAATACTACATCTACTGCCTACGCTACACTACTCACCTTTCCTTGAATTTCTTACTTGTGTATTAATCATTCCCTTTTAGCCCTCTCCCGCCGCTGCCTAATTTCGGGTACGTAGGCATCTAGTTAGGCATTTCACGTTTCATGTTAAGTGCGTATTTTCTCAGCTTCGTCATGTTTTTCTTTTTGCTCCTTTTAATAAAAAAAGGAAATTAAAAAAGAAAACGCTAGCAGCTCATGCAATGCTAGTTTGATGGAGCTAGCTAGGTACAAGTCATGAGTAGTAGTGGTAGTAATTGAGCATGACAATAACGGAACACCAACTACTCACGACTTGTGCAGCAATTTGATTATTACACGGGTAATCAAACATTAACACACGAATTTCTATGAACCAAATGCTGCTACTACTAGCTAGACATACCACTCAGTGGAGTTGAGACCAGCCAGTGAGTCGGTCGTCAATAAGACAAAGTTTAATTAAGAGTGGTAAACAGGATTATCATGGTTCTTTGCTGGTGCTGTAAACGTCAAAAAGAAAAACTAAGAGCTGCTGGACACGGATCAGTTTATGTAGCTGTTACTTGCTGCAGAGACGAAGGAAGTTAGCCGATCGAAAGGTACACATGAATACTCCTCCGCTCTCAGGTCCTCTTCTCCTACTCTCAGCTAGAGCAAGTGAGAAAGAAAGGAAAGGGAAAAAGAGTAGATAAAAGGGTGGCGGCTGTGGGTCCAAATGTCTGGAATTTATTCGGGTCCCTCTCTTCTTCCCACTCCCACGTATGTGTATGATTTCGATCGACTGGTTTATGGCGATGGCGAAACGATATAAATCGTTCACTTCCTTTCGCAATCTTACTCGACGAACGATCTCTTCCTCTGACTCTAACTCTACTTGCGTGCGCAATGTGCTAGTTGTATGGTAAAGGCTTGCGAACGGATGGATGTTAATTCCATTCTACGATCAACTATGACACTAGAATATACTTGCATACTTCCTCCGTACGGTGAAAAGTGTACGTTGGCTTTAAATTCTGTCCACAAAAGAGTGTACATATCTTCCCAATGCACATTAAAATAGAAAAAAATGCTTCTCTCTTATCACATGGTAATCAAGACCAATAGCATTCTACACATGGTCTCCTTAATTTTTACACGCACTTAGATCATTTAGGTAGACATAATTTTTCATAAAATTTCTGTATATAAACATTTCAGATTTCACAGGACTAAGGGAGTATATGTTTACATATCTGACCATCGGATGCCTTCTAATATGTACTAGTGGTATGTTTATTTATGCTCATAGACGAACATCTGTAGTACACTGAGCTTTGCTGCATGATCTATCTGTCTCAGACGCTCGTTTTCATGATTTGATTCAGCAGGCCCATGTGCAGACTTGGCACCACGTAGCAGCAGCTTCATCGATTCTCTAGGCAGGCCGCATCATCTTATCTCTGACCTATACCATAAGCAAACTACTTCATCCGTCTCATAATATAAAAACGTTTTTGACATTACATTAGTATATAAAACAGACAAACCAATCTGAAGTACTTCTCCGGCCATGTTACACGACAAAATGGTGCCTGTGGTTACTGACATTGTCGATTACACTCCGTAGTCGCTCGTGTGATCGATCGATCGATGCTGGTCGTGCACGGACTCGAGTTACTAACGGGCTGATTCCACGACATGCATCTGCAGTCAGTCAGTGTGCAACATGCATGCAGTCCTTGCTGATCTTGTCCAGTTATTTGGTGGGTAGGTAGGTGAAGTAGTAGAAGCCAGTAGCTCAATGACCGTAGCCAGTAGCTCAATGACCGACTCACTCACAAACCTGAGTGACTTCTAGCTTTACTCTGACATGGTGTGCACACGTGGTCAAGAAGTTGTGCCACGTGTCTAGTGGCCCACGTCAACACAAGCAGAGTACTCCGTGGCAGTTTTGGATTTGGCTTTGGCCCCTCCCTTCCTTCCAAAGTTGAAGCACGCGAGCGGCAGTGGGCACATACAAATACAATACAAGCCGAAGAAGAAGAGAATCGTCGTTCATTTCATTTCATTGTGCACCACCAACCCAACCCAACCCCAACCCAACCCAGAGACGCAGAGTAATCCGGCCGGCCATCTTGCTCCATTCCAGTCCATGGCGTCTCTGCTTCTCAAAGGCGTGCACAAGCGCCTGGGCCTGCCGTCCATCTCCATCTCCTGCTCCTCCGCCGAGGCCACCAACATCATCGCCTCAACCAACACCACCAACGGCGTCGGCAGCAGCAGCGGCCGGGCCCTCGACCGCCACTCGCCCCGCCTCCGCGACCCACACCGCTCCTCCACCTCCAAGCCGCCAAGGCCAAGCACCAGCGCCAGCGCCAAAGACTCGGCGTCCTCCGGCGACTCCAAGCAGCAGCGCGGCCACGGCAACAACAAGAAGAAGAAGAACAAGAGCACCACCGCTCCTGCTGGGACTAAATCTTCAGAGAAGAGGCTGGTAAGCCCGGCGACGTCGTCCAGGTTCCTCCTCAACTCCTCCCGGCTGCAGTCCGACGACCTCGACGTCCTCGCACTTGCCCCGCAGCCGCCGCCGTCGTTCATCGACGTGTTCCCCGGCGGCGAAGGGAAGCCGCCGTCCTTCATCGACGCGTTCCCCCCCGGCAACGCCTCGCTCCCTCTTTCCTTCGCGAAGGAGGCACCGTCGCCGGTACAGCAAGCAGAGACCTCCTCGTCCTCCTCCTCTGCTTCGTCGTCGTCGGAGGTCACAGCCCTCCAAGAAGAAGAGGAGCAGCAGAAGGCGGCGGTGCTGGCGCGGTCGTCCACGACCACGGAGAGAAGAACGACGCAGGTGGTGGTTTTGAGGGTGTCGCTGCACTGCAAGGGGTGCGCGGGCAAGGTGAAGAAGCACCTCGCCAAGATGGAGGGCGTGACGTCGTTCGACATCGACATCCCGAGCAAGAAGGTGACGGTGGTCGGCGACGTGACGCCGCTGGGCGTGCTCACCAGCGTCTCCAAGGTCAAACCCGCGCAGTTCTGGCCGTCGCCGCCGCAACCGCCCCGCGCCTCCGCGTCCTTCTGAACGCGCCGGCGATCTCCGCTCTCTCTGAATCACATCATGATGATTAGCAGAGCATAGCTAGACATCAACGTACGTACGTCAGGCTAGCTGCAGCTCTATCTTTCATCCTTTCTTTTTCATTGAAAGAAAAGAAACGGCACTGAATTTTCTACATTTACTGTAGTGATATGCTACAGTTACTGTACTGATATTTTGTTTACCTTTGCCTGCTTTCTCGTCTGAATTTCGATACAAAGCATATAACTTGTGTAATCGATCGTGCACCCAAAATATCGAGATTCATAAATACTCGCAAAAAAAAAAATCGAGATTCGAGAGAAAACAAAGGGGGAAATTAAAGTTGAGTGGAGAAGAAAGTGTAGAATCGAACTTATCCCGGGTGGTGCCTGTTTGTCATTGTTTAGTACTAACATTTTGATTCTACTCCGGTGGACGACATGGATGGGTCTCACAAAGATGACTACGAGTATCACATTTTTCTTTGGATTATACATATCTTATTATTCTCCATCGACCACTAGCAGCAGCACAAGTGCAAAAGCCAAGACATTCATCCCTCTTAAGTTGATTGATATCCATCATTAGCCGCCGTGTAGTAGTACATCAGCAGCAGTGAAAGAGCAATTGGAAGCTTGGACGTCAACATTCTTCATATATTACTCTCATCAGCTAAAGAAATCAACTTGTTTCCCTGTCACAGAGATCGATAGGGAGTTCATTCTTGTTAACAGATTTTGGTTGGTTTGGGTGGAGGGGTCATGACTGATATGATATAAGATGAGTCCATCGACCAGGAAAATCAAGCCCAGATAAGATAGGTCAAAAACTCAGAACCCGAAAAATATATATGCAATCCTTCTTTGCATAGTTGTATATGCACGCGCGAAAAGCTCCTCTGCTCTAAACTACGGAGTACCTTGCTGTCAAAGCGACTCATAAGATAGTACTCCAAAGAGAAAACAACAACAATACATCCATCCATCAATCCATCGGCAGCTTCCGCACGGTTTCCTACTTCGCTACAAACATAACAAAAAACAACACTAACCGCCGGCCTAGATAGCTAGCATGTTTCCTATTTAGTTAGCTACTCCAAAGAGTGCTGCACAATTAGTAGTCGTATGTTGTAATGTTTTTTCGTCTATAATAACATACAGACCTAGTAGGGGAGTCCTGGACTAGAGGGTGTCCGGATAGCTGAACTATCATCATCGGCCGGACTTCAAGACTATGAAGATACAAGATTGAAGACTTCGTCCCGTGTCCGGATGGGAGTTTCCTTGGCGTGGAAGACAAGCTTGGCGATACGGATATGTAGATCTCCTACCATTGTAACCGACTTTGTGTAACCCTAGCCCTCTCCGGTGTCTATATAAACCGGATGACTTTAGTCCATAAGACGAACAACAATCATACCATAGGCTAGCTTCTAGGGTTTAGCCTCTTTGATCTCGTGGTAGATCCCCTCTTGTAACACACATCATCAATATTAATCAAGCAAGACGTAGGGTTTTACCTCCATCAAGAGGGCCCGAACCTGGGTAAAACATCGTGTCCCTTGTCTCCTGTTACCATCCGCCTAAACGCACAGTTCGGGACCCCCTACCCGAGATCCGCCGGTTTTGACACCGACAGCAGGCTTATGGCCACGGCAAACAGCCTCAAGAAAAAGCAGCAACAGCTTAGAGCTGATCAGGATCTGCTAGCCGACAGATGGACGGAAGTCCTGGCGGCCGAAGAGCATGAGCTCGAACGCCCCTCCAAAAGCTACCCCAAACGCAAGTTGCTTCCCCGATTAGAGGAGGAGGCATATAAACCTGCATCACCAGAGCACAATACGGCTGACCGGCCACGAGGTGGCCGCGACAGAGAGGCCTCTAGGACCTTCACTATAACCGTACCCCGGCACCGCTCGAGCAGCACAAGGCCACAGGGGAATGCTCCGGACTTGCGAGATAAATTGGAGGATAAGGCAAGACAATCAAGATCGATCTACGGATCGCGTGGGCGCCCCATGATACGTGACGACAACCGTCGCGCCGGACACAGTAAGTCCGGCCGGGCCGAACACAATAGACAAAGCTCGTTGGAGCTTCGTCGCGATATAGCCCAATACAGAGGCGCCGCACACCCACTATGCTTCACAGACGAAGTTATGGATCATCAAATCACCGAAGGGTTTAAACCCGTGAATATCGAATCCTATGACGGCACAACAGACCCCGCGGTTTGGATCAAAGACTATCTCCTTCATATTCACATGGCCCGCGATGACGATCTTCACGCCATCAAATACCTCCCACTCAAGCTTAAAGGACCAGCTCGGCATTGGCTTAACAGCTTGCCAGCAGAATCAATTGGATGTTGGGAGGACCTGGAAGCCGCATTCCTTGATAACTTCCAGGGCACGTATGTGCAACCACCAGACGCTGACGACCTAAGCCACATAATTCAGCAGCCAGACGAATCAGCCAGACAATTCTGGACACAGTTCTTAACTAAGAAAAATCAAATCATCGACTGTCCAGATGCGGAGGCCCTCGCAGCCTTCAAACATAACATCCGCGACGAGTGGCTTGCCCGGCACCTGGGACAGGAAAAACCGAAATCCATGGCAGCCCTCACATCACTCATGACCCGCTTTTGCGCGGGAGAGGACAGCTGGCTAGCTCGCAGCAACAACCTCAGCAAAAATTTCGGCAGTCCGGATACCAAGGATCGCAATGGCAGGTCACATCACAACAAGAATAAACGCCGCATTAACGACGACAATAATGAGGATACGGCAGTCAACGCCGGATTCAGAGGCTCGAAACCCGGTTAGCGGAAGAAGCCATTCAAAAGAACTACTACGGGTCCGTCCAATTTGGACCGAATACTCGATCGCTCGTGCCAGATACACGACACCCCCGAAAAGCCAGCCAACCACACCAACAGGAACTGTTGGGTATTCAAGCAGGCAGGCAAGCTAATCGCCGAAAGCAATGACAAGGGGCTGCATAGCGATGACGAAGAAGAGACCCGACCGCCGAACAACAGAGGACAGAAGGGTTTCCCCCCACAAGTGCGGACGATGAATATGATATACGCAACCCACATACCCAAGAGGGAGCGGAAGCGTGCACTCAGGGACGTATACGCGATGGAGCCAGTCGCCCCGAAGTTCAATCCATGGTCCTCCTGCCCGATCACTTTTGATCGAAGGGACCACCCCACCAGCATCCGCCACGGCGGATTCGCCGCATTGGTTTTAGACCAAATTGTCGATGGATTTCACCTCACCAGAGTCCTGATGGGCGGCGGCAGCAGCACGAACCTGCTTTATAAGGACACAGTGCGCAAGATGGGCATAGACCCCTCAAGGATTAAACCCACAAAGACGACCGTCAAAGGTGTCATACCAGGTGTAGAGGCCAATTGTACGGGCTCAGTCACACTGGAAGTGGTCTTCGGATCCCCGGATAACTTCCGAAGAGAGGAATTAATCTTCGACATAATTCCGTTCCGCAGCGGCTATCATGCTCTGCTCGGACGGACCGCGTTTGCAAAGTTCAACGCGGAGCCGCACTACGCATACCTCAAGCTCAAGATGCCAGGCCCTCGAGGAGTCATCACGGTCAACGGAAACACCGAGCGCTCCCTCCGAACGGAGGAACATACAGCGGCTCTCGCAGCAGAAGTATAATGTAGCCTCTTAAGGCAATTCTCGAGTCCGGCCGTTAAGCGACCGGACACGGCCAAACGCGCCCGCAGTAACCTACAACAAGACCACCTGGCGCGTTCCGAGCACGCGTAGCAATGCGACCCAAACCCCAGCCCTCGCAAGATTGCAAGACTGGTCCTTCGCGTACATCATTACGCTCTGGAGATACCATGGGCATAGGGGAAGGGGCACGACCACGACAGGCCCAGAATGCGGCTCAACCACATCAGGGGCTCCTAAGTGTGTCATTTCTTTTTTTTCCTTACCCACAGGACTACGTTTACCAGAGGCCCTGTCCGGCAGTAGACCGGCCGAACTCATGATGCAACAGCCAGGGAAGGAGAAAGGCTGTGACGAATATCCAGGTGGTCTCCCTTACAAGAATTTAATCTGTTTTATACACCACTCCGCAGCCTACCCCTGGAGGGGGACATGTTTAACAGTCATGTCCCTTGCTTATCGCACTATTTGTATCATTCTGCATTCATAGCAGTACTTCTTGAATAAAACAATGCAGCACCTTTTTGCTTATAATTGCATTTCTTTCTTATACATATGTTCATTTATGACATGTTGCATCCGTACACTTTGGTACGGCTAAAAACACCAGGGGCTTATGTTCCCCACATCATGGTGTGGTAAGTCCGAACACTTTCACAAGTGCGGCACTCTGAACTTATAGCATTATATGCATCAGCTCCGAATCATGTCTTGGGTCAATAGTTGGGTTTGCCCGGCTCCCATGTTTTGGTACCTTACGTTCCGTTGTATCGGCTAAGGTAGCACTGGAAGAACCACTACGATTGCGCCCCAGTTGAGCTGGGTTAACGCCTCAATGGAGAAAGCTAAAACTGACCGTCATGATGAGGCGAGAGCCGGTCGCTGTTCGAGAGGTTTTTTCGAGTCCCTAAAGACTTATGCCGCTTAGAGCGAGGAACCGGCTCTGTCCGGCCCAGGCGTGGATAGCGCCCCGAATTCGTCCTTCCGAACACTAGGGGCTTCGCCGAAATTTAAAATTATAAAATTCTATGGCTAAGTGAGAGTGTTCAAGCATTATAAGTCCGGTTGCCTAGTCCGTCGTGTTGAGCGCCTTCCTAGATGGACCCAAATATAGGAACAAGAGTGCTCAAATTTATACCGATCACCCCAGCACTCGTGGCATGGGGGCTGAAGCCGACGACTTGCCATCTCTCAGATTTGATAAACAGCCGCACAGAAGGTAATATTTTAAATCAACAAGTATTGCTTAGCGCATATGAACAAAGTTTTCTGCGCACAGGATAACAAAATGCGAGTT